AGCTCACAAATTCTCTTCTTCAAAGCACGACACCCTTAGCAACACGTAATTTTACTAGGAATGCTTCACAAGCAAACAATAATTTTTGCATCTCGCTTCTCTCTCCTCAAACAACACCCGCTATAGTTTTATTCACTCTTTTTTAATGCTATCCCCATTATTTCTTAGAGAGGAAAAAGCCAAATGTATGCAACCATTCCTCTTAATAATTATTCACTGTATAGTCAGTGCTTTTCCGCTACAAATAAAGCCACAAAAAAAATACTGTCAGAATGCGTCCTGCATTGCTGGGCTTTGATTTCGACAGGATGGATTCTCAAAAGACCTGCAGGTGAGTAAACGGTGGACAGACTGCCTTCAGAGAGTGTGCCCTCTGTTCAAGGTAGGCTCACGTTTCTACCAGAGGAGGATGAAGGCCCCGTTTTATTTTCTCCAGGTGAATGGCAGGTTACACCAGCATCATTTCTAGTCTTTTCTCAATGGATTGATAATAACCTTTGTTATTAAAAAAAATTTTTTTTAATATTGATTCTTGGGCTGAGCAGGGGAAACACACAAAGAAAACAGACTGGCTCTGCCAAAAGCATTTAAAGTAAGGACGTGTTAAAGATCCGATAGGGACGTGTCAAAAAAATACCGAAACCAGCTTGAAGGAGCAACAAAGAGCCAAATTTGGAGCAATTTGAACATCCAAATGGAAAAATGACAGGAATGGATGATAACACTGAATGCAAAAGATCAGTAGTAATGCTAAAATATAGTAATAATTGATTTAGGCAAGACTCATCAATAAATGCTAAAAACTACTGAGTATTGGGGAATGGGATAGTCACACAGTCTCAATGTACAAGCTCATTACAAAGAGGGGGAGGGGGGACCTTTAAAATGGAGCAATCTAGTGGAGAGTACACCATTTAAATCAAGCAAAGTCAGTAGCACCAATAACGTGACCAATTGAGATCATGAGGTCCCTACTGTGACACTGAGGACACTTCCCACATGCAAAAAATATCACCTGCAGAAAGGCAAGCATTTTAATTATTCATATTTTGCTTGAGCTATAGTCAACCTATGTTTACTGATCTATGTTTGTATTTTAAAACATCTGTAATATTCTCAGGATATTTAATCAGACATCTATTGAAACCATGATCTACGTTAAATTCTTCAAATTAGGATATATAGAAAAAAGGTTAAGTAAATAAAGAAGGCGGAAAAACACTATGTGACATTAATTCAATAAACATATACAGGCTACTTTTCTATGTGCTATACTATTTGACAGGGGCTAGGCAAACAAGGATAAATCTGGCAAAGTAAATGCCACCTTTATTCTTTTCATAAAACTTTCTAATCATAATAAATCCAATGGGGGGAGGGGGGGAAAACACAGTATTAACCTAAATTCTGGTTTTAAAGGACTATGATATAAGGGTGGATCTAAATTAGTTGGAATCCTCACTTAACTATATGAATCAATATAATAGAAATACTGTAATAGAAAATAAGTATTATATTTGATTCATTACAGAAGTAGAAAATATAGTGATTAAAACAGGGGATTTAGAATCAGACTGGGTGTTTGCATCCTGGGCCCACTGTAATTCTACAGTTCCTCTGTCTGTAAAATGGAGCCGATAATATGATGTTATGGAGATTAAATATGTCAGTGCACACAAAGATCTTAGCATACTTAGTGGCAATCACACAAACACCACAAATGAATGTTTATAGCAGCATTATTTGTAATAGTAAAAAGCTGGAAAAGCGCTAAATGAACATCAATGAATGAATGGACAGAGACTATGTGAAATACACATAGACCACGATGAAATACAGCTCAGTAACAAAAAGGAACAAACTACTGCTCTAGCCAGTTTGGCCCAGTGGACAGAGCATCGGCCTGCGGACCATAGGGTCCCAAGTTCAATTCCGGTCAAAGGCAAGTGCTTTGGTTGCAGGCTCCTTCCTGGCTTGGGCCCTGGTCAGGGATCATGCAGAAGGCAACCAATCAATGTGTTTCTCTCACATCTATGTTTCCCCCTGTGTTTTCCTCTCTTCCACTCTCTCTAAAAAATCAATGGAAAAATATCCTTGAGTAAGGATTAAAAACACAAAACAAAAGAAACAAAGTACTGACACATCTTCATCAAGAAATGAACCTGCTAAGAGAAAGAATCCAAACAAAAGACTACAGATTTCATGGTTCCATTTACATGAAATATCTACAAAAGGCAGATTTATAGAAAGCAGGTGACTGCTTGAGACTGACAGTGAGAATGACGATTAATGGTAAGTGAGCATGACAGATCTTATTAGGAAATGAAAATGCTCTAGAAATAAATTGTGGTGATACTTGTACCACTCAGTAAAATTACTAAAAATCAATGAGTCATACACTTGAAATGAGTAAATTTTACATGTAAAAATAATCTCAATAAAGTTGTTTTCAAAAAATAGTTACTACATGATCTCACTCATACGTGGAATCTGACGAACAAAATAAACTAATAAAATAGATCCAGAGACATACAACACAGTCCAGCTTAAAAACCTCCCAGGACTCTGTAGTTCTCATGAGACAATGTCCAATCTCCTGAGCAATCACTCCTATCACTGCCCATTCTCTAAACACAGACCCTAAATTATATCGATACCATGAAGTACAAGCTCTTCTGCTTTCACCCAATCACTACTCCATGGTGTTGAAGGAGCTTTCTCTTAAGTCCAGTTCACCTATTCCGCAAGACTGCATTAGACATTCCCACATGCCCACCTCCCAAAAGAAGTCTGAGCCTCCTCCTGCTCTGCGTTTCCATGGTACTTTGTTCATGAAACTAACAGACCTCTCATCCCATCACAGTGCACATGTCCTCATGGCGTTCCTCCCTCAGTCCCGGGCTTTTTGAAAGAAGCTTGTTTTATTCCTATTTCACCCATAGCCCCTGGTATATGGCACATAAAAAGACTTCAACAAGTGTATATGAAATAAATCATTCTCATTTCAGAATGCCTAAAATCCATCTGCCCTGGATGTCTTATCAAATAATTGAAGGCAGTCGTGGTAGAAAAGTACAGATGGGTCCTACCTATTTAGGTAGAATATTCGCCAGCTCCAGTGATTTAGGCAAGAACGGAAGAGCCACTGCTCTGCCACAGACATAAAGCTACACTAGGATAGCAGGATCACAGGTGAGAAGCTACCAGGACAGCAGGGACGTGTAGGGCACATGTGTCAAACACAAGGCCCACAGGCCAAATCCGTCCCACCAGGCCTTGCAATGTGGCCCGCACCGCGCTGTCATCACTGCACTCCGCTGCGTTTCCATCACAATGACAGTTTATGACTGTTCAGTAAACCATTCGGCCCGCAATTTAGGCTGGATTTTAGATTTTGGCCCCTTCTCTGATTGAGTTCGACACCCCTAGTGTAGGGGATGCGAGAGAAGGAGAAATAAATAGGGAAGCAGAAAAATCCCAAACTGAAGCAACAAAAAGAGATGTGTTGAGGGTCACAGATTACAAATTTGGGCCTCTCTCATGACTCCTATCATCTCCACAACTGCTTTCACCACTCGCCCTGACAGCAACCATTTACTGACCACCTCTTACTGTCCGCTGTGGACACTGTACTACAAATGACTACACATGTCATTCAGCGTTCATAGCAGCCCTATCACAGAGGTGTTATCCACGTTGCAGAGACAATAAAACAAACCTATCAACAATGAACTGCACTGCCCAAGGTTTCCTAGTTAATATGTTAAGTCACAAAGCCGGATGTGAAAAAGGGTCAGGCTTCAAACTCCTCTTTCTGCTCTGCTATCCATGCACCAGGGCTGTCAACAATTTGGGGACTGGCTTTGCACTATTTGGTTACCTTTGTGAACACACGTCTTATTTTCGTCATCACTAGAAAGTATCCGTGAGGGCACAGCTTATGTCTAATATGCTTTATTTCCTCTCTAGCATCTCAAAATGATCTTTCTACATAGTAATCCATCAGTACTTGATTAGTTTCTAGTAGAAATATTGGTTGCTAGTAGGAATAAAAAGAGGTTTATTGATCGTTAGTTAGTATTAAGCCAAATATTTTTTTAAAAAGATGACGTAGCTCCATTGACTACAGTACGTGCTGGGGGTAAGACTTTAAGTCATCGACTGGCATAGGCCCTAAAACACCAATCACAGCTATACAATGAAGGATGGTTTGGGATAGTAATGCGCTAAGATATACTGCTCTTTTCTTCAGATCTGGGTATAAAGATCACAATTATATATGAGTAGTCCTGTGTTATAACAAGCACATGAACAACTTACTTAAATGTGGAAATAAACATGCCTCAATTGTCAAAACCTCTTACTTCTCTTGTAGAAAGATATAAAAACATGGGAGAGTGGGCTTATGTCTTCTACACAGTTCTACAGTCAATGTCAGTTCATGAGGCAAAAATCAATTAGAGACACAACGATCTTTGAGAAGTCCTTAAATCACTCTTAAAGCCCAGTCTAATATAGTACCAGCTCTCAATAAACCCATCTGGGCAGTGTTTCCTCCTGCGAGGAACAAACATCACCATTTCCTCTGCTGTGTGCCACGTGGAGCATGTGGCTCATGCTCGGAGGCCACAGTGAAAGGAAACGCACACATTTACACGCGGGCATCACAGTCAACACTCAGAGGTACTTAGACCGATCAGTTCCTGAAACAGGTATCCAGGAACTGGTTCCATCTGAGAGAACAGCGTCTTCCACGTCATGCCTGCTGGGCACACGCTCATGGTGGAAAAAGAGCTAGAATGACTGACTACTGTATTTAAATGATTTAGTGTCTTGTGTTGGGTGTTTTGGTTTTCAGCGTGAGCCTGAAGATTATAAATTTGAATCAGTTATATTCCCAGAAATGTGACTCTACTGTACCTGCTCTCTCTTGTTGACTGTGCAGCCTCAGATGCCTAGAACGTTAGGCACAAGATCTGAAAAAATGAAATTGATCTTACCTTCGTCTATGGATGCTTCACTACTGTATCCATCATACTCTGCAGACAGAGGACTATATTTTTGTCTTGTTTCCCAAGTGTAGTTCTTTTGTCTAGAATCAGCCAATGGGAGTCTGGAATTGTGTGTTCGGGATAAGGCCTCATGGTATTTACCCAGCGCTTCATCTTCACTTTCAGAAGATGAGCCATGCTCATCTCTGTCCATGTAGGAATTATCTATTTGCAACAGGGAAAGCAAATAAAAATTTTAATGCAATAAAGGATGATGAATTTGTTATAGTTTTTATACACACACACACACACACACACGTATATATATAGAATCAATATACACAGATGTATATATGTCATATATATCCATGTATACACAAATATATAAATACATATAAACAAACACAAGCTAAATTTTTAGCTTTAGAGAAATGTAAACTTTTCACTCAAAAAGCACAAGACTATTTTTTTAAAGCCCAACATTTAGATTTTAAGGGGTTTTTAAAAAATATTTTTATTGATTTCAGAGAGAAAGAGAGAGGGAGAGAGAGATAGAAACATCAATAACAGAGAGACTCATTGATGGGTTGCCTCCTGCACGCCCCCCCATTGGGAATCGAGCTCACAACCCAGACATATGCCTTTGACTGGAATCAAACCCAGGACCCTTCAGTCTGCAGGCCAACACTTTATCCACTGAGCCAAACCAGCTAGGGCTAGAGTTTATGTTTTAATAGAAAAAGATTCATTTGTATACTCCAATGACATAAATAATGTTAGTCACAGGGATTTTCCTACAATGTTACACATAAAGAAAATAATAGGGCCCGTCATTTTACACATTTTTTCTAAAGGATCAGTAGTATACAAAGGATATTATAGGTATTGCCAAAACATATGGGCACGATTAAATAATTCATGTTACAAAAGATATCGCCTTAGCTGAAATTTTCAAAATAGATAATTCTTATACTAGGAATGAAACAGGCAAATGGGCAGACATGTACAGGAGAGGGCAAAAGTAGGTTTATAGTTTGTATATGTGAAACAGACATCTAAAGAAACAGATTTTATTTATTTTTAATTCTCACCTGAGAATATTTTTGTTATTGACTTTGGAGAGTGGGGGGTGGGGGGGAGAGAAAGGGAGAGAGAGAGGAAGGGACAGAGAAGGAGAGAGAGTGATACAAAGAGAAGCATTGATCAGTTGCCTCCTGTACACTCCCTGATGGGCTTCAAACCCGCAACCTTTTCATGTATGGGCCAATACCCCAACCAACTGAGCCACACGGGCAGAGTATTACCGTATTTTTCGGACCATAAGACGCACTTTTTTCCCCCAGAAGTGGGGGGGAAAGGTCCCTGCGTCTTTTGGTCCAAATATAGCCTACACATATACTTTAAAAAAAACGTTTTTTTACTTGCCCGGCTCTGTGTGGTCTGTGTGTGCTTGCCCGGCTCTAAAATGGTTCTAAATGCTGCTGTTTACTTTACAGGGTTGATTACATGTGTTTAAGACTGTGATGTTGGGTTTTAATGCACATAAAATATTTTAGGACACTATTTGTTTCAGAATCTTTTTTTCTTCATTTCCCTTCTCTAAAAACTGGTGCGTCTTATGGTCCGAAAAATATGGTACTTATTACAATTGTATTATTTGTATTACAACTGTAAGCCTACTTTTGCCCACCCTGTATTATTAGTGAAATTATAGTTGGTAAAACTTTTCTAGAGAGCAATTTGGTAATGCATATTAAGCTTTTAACTCTGTATAGTATTTGATCCATTTCTAAGAATTTATCAATTCCATTTCTAAGAATTCATTCTAAGAAAGTAATAGGTGAGAAACATATATATTTGAGACAATTCAGTGCATTGTGTTCAATAGCAAAAGAAAACAAAAAATTAAGTAGAACCTAAACATCCATCACGAGGCCTGGTTAAACAAATTATGATATATCAATGCAATGATATACTACGCAGTGAATGAAAATGAAGTCAACTTACAAGAACTCACAGGGAAAAAAAATAACTAAGGTTATAAAATAGAAGGTATATTCATAGTCTCTATATTATATATATACACACACACACACACGAACACTCGCCTACATGCAGTAGATACACACACACATGCAGTATATATTTATATACACATACAAAAATGTGTGGAAAGATATATAAAAACTTAACACTTATAATCTGCAAATGGTGAAATTACTAGGAAAAGTTTTTCTTACATATACCTATATTTAATATAAAAATTTTAGGTGGCATAAGTTGTTTATTATATTTAAAAGCACTAGTTATTACTTTTAAAAAGATAAAACTTTTAAAACAGCAGCTTGCTAAGATGCATTTAAACTAAAACGCAACCTCCTTAGAATTATAAATCAACTCCAGAAAGATGAAGAGACCACAGAAGGTAGAATTTGTGAAGTCTAGATGTTTTTTTCTTTAGTATATGTAGTTGAGATGATCTGTACTAAAGAAATCAAGGTTTGAAATCCAAGTGGGAAGACGCAGGATAAGTAATTTTACAATATGGGAGAGGAATTGAATGCTTAGAGTTAGAGCTTAGGTGTCACCTGGTGTAAGTCCCACCAATAAAATACTTAATATTTATGTCTTTCTTTATTTCTGCTACTTCATGTAATAATAGGTTACCAAAAACCTCTGAGCCTAACATTCAAAAGGCTACAAGAAGAATAGATTCCAAAATGGACATAGAGTTGACCTTTGGCATTCAGAGGATTAGTTCTAGAACTTTCTGCAGATACCAAAATCCAAGGATGCTCAAGTCCCTTATGTACATCCTGCCACATACTTTAAATCATACCTTAATCAATAAAAAATAAAATATAAAGGGATAATATGCTGCAAAAATAAACCATCTCTAGATTACTTATAATACCAATACAATATAAATACTATGTAAATACTTGATATACTGTATTGTTTAGGGATTAATAATAAGAAAAAAATGTCTGTACATGTCCAGTATAGATGCAACTACCACAGATCTAACTATAATATATAGTACATGTCAGCAGCAAAGTAACATTTAAAATACATATATCTACGTATATATTTAGATATTTTTTCAATCTGTGGTTGGTTGAATCCACAATTATGGAATCCATAGATGTGGAAGGCTAACAATATTTCCAAAAACTGGTGTTCCTTTTTAGTTAGCTCATTCATCCTGGGTCAACCTCTATTATATCATAAAAAAAACCCACACCTATTTATACAATTGATAAATAGCAGATCCTTATTCCATATAAAGCCATGCAGAACTAAAAAAGTATTCCTCATTTCTACTATTACTTATATTTTGTTATTTTATGAGAATCTAAATTTATTGAAAAGTTCTAGGTACATATTTTATAAATTAAAACCAGTGTACTTTTGGCCTTGGGATCAGACCAGCAATAAATGGGAATGATTATGGAATTAATAGAAATAATTACTAGGATTCTTAAGCAATTCTGCAACCAAAACCAAATAATTATTGCCTAATTGTTTTAAAAACTTTTATACATATTGTGGTGGAAAACTATAAATGTTTGATTGGAATCTTAATTCTATAGACAATTTGTGAATAATAATAGATTATTTATGTATACTCACTGTGTGAACATGTATGGCTAATGAACATATGCTGAAGCATGTTACTAAAAAAATAAAATAAAATCTACTGCTCCCAAAGGAAAATATAAAACATTTGATATAGGTACCGACTAGGATGGACTTGAAAAGCAACACTGTACAAAGGACTTTGGTGTTAGTTACAAAAATAAAATTTAAATACAACTAAAAATAAACTCCAACTAAAGGATTCACACTACTTAAGAAAGCCATGGAGTTTCTGGTTGTAAAAAACAACAACAACAAACCAGACATTTAAAAAATTAAGGTTGTTGAAAATTGGCCAAATAATGCAGGGACTAGAGGCAATATTCAGTGTGTGTATTGCTCTTTGAAATGACTGTGAGAAAAAAAATGAATGACTTTAAACATGTCTCCCAGCAAGAAGAATAAAGGAAGTCTCAAAGCAGATATATAGGCATGTATAGGAAAGTTCAGAAATTTGGATATTTTCCTAATTTCAAAAATCAAGAGAAATTGTATCACTCAAATCCACAGACGACCTCACCTTTTCCTGGTATTATCTTAGAATATTTTTCATCTTTACTCTTTGCTTTTCCTTTCTTGGCAGAAATGGCTTCACTTTTCTTTGCTTTTATGTCTCCTTTCCCTTTGGAGCCTTTTGTTGCTTTTATATGTTCTTTGATTTTTCCATATAATTTATCTTTAGAGCTAGTTGACGGTGCTAGATGTTTGTCTTCTTTCATAGTGGATTTCCTTATCGTATGTCTATTGCTCGCCAAGATATCTTTTGGAGAGTTCTCGTTTCCTGAACACTCATTTCCTTTCGGCCCTTTCCTTTTAATGTGGTTTTCAGCTTTCTTTAAATGTTTTTCTCTCGTTTCTTGATACCTTCCCTCCTTTAAATCATTCTTACCATTACTAGACATTCCTAAGCCAATGTTTTTATACCTGTCTGTAGGTCCACGTTCTTGGCAAATAGATCCAGCCCTTGCATTCTTCTGCTCAACAACTGATGTCCCACCATCACTCACACGGCCTTCCACAGATTTACCAGCATTATTGGTTTCTTGACATTTGGATAGCATCTGTTGCCTATCATTAATCTGTTCAAATGGTCTTTCATTCATTCCTTGATCTTGCCTTTGTGAAAGTGAAGTCGGGTAGCAATTCCTTTGATTTGCTGTGTGCTCTACATTGGATGGTGTTTCCTGACAATCGGTGTTTTTGGAAATTTCTGGTGACATGGCGTCTTCTTGTTTAGAAGCATCCGCAGCTTCCGCTGCTGCAGAGCTCTCCTCTTCTGGGTGCAAGCCATTCATCATACTGGTCACCTGTTCAGAAACCGCGTCGCTCAGAGCACAGCTGACCTCCCCGACAACGGTGGTCAGGTCCTCCACCGCGCTACTGATGGTGTCCACCAGCGAGGACATGGAGGGCAGGCTCCGCTGCAGTTTTCTGAAAAATGCCATTTTCTACTTCCTTGTCCCTACGAGGTACAATGAAATTTCCTCTTCTCAAAATATCAACCACTTGGAACTTGAATTTAACATTTGCTTAAGTGTTGCTATTTCTGAGCTCGATATTAGTATTTCGCATGGTGGCTTTTTAAATCTTTCTGTAAATGCATTATGCATTTGAAGAAGCATGTCGAAGCAAAGACTCTTCCAGAAAAAAGAAAAATCAAACCACTTGCTTTAAGTATAATGATATTTTTTTCCCACTCCAAAGCTATCATAACAGCAGCAAGACAATTATTTTCCCCTCAAATACTATTGGTTTTTAATTCTATACCTGTAAGAAGAAGTATAAAAAGGATTTTTACTATATACTTTTTGTTAATTTATTCCTAGTCTATGCAGGGGAACTACCCTATCTTATTAACAAACTACCAATACCACTTCAAATTAAGAAAAACAAAAAGGGGGAAACATGTCAGCAATTGTGCACAGAGGTTAGAACGGGGATGGGCAGAGGGTGAACATTTTCTCAGTAGCTACGACATGCAAAGCATGGTGATTTGTAAATTTTACCTTATTTGATCTTATAACAACTCTAGGAGATAAACACGATTATTCCTATTTAATAAGTGAAAGAAAAACCAGGCTCGGAAAAATTAAGATCCCTGAGAACTTTCCAATGGATTCTCAAGGTCAAAACTATTTTTATAATAATAGTAAGGAGATATTTATCCTCTCACTTTTATTTGCTCACCAAAGAACCCTGGCATCTTCAGTGACTACGTGACAGACCGAATGCAGAAGCAGATGTGAGGACCCAGCTGTCCCTTTCCTCCATGCCAGTCATCAGAATGTTCCAGAAATGTAAAATAATGTCACTCGGCTCGCCAAATTTTTTGTTTTAATAAATATCCTTTTTAATTAAAATGTTATTTATATTAACATGTCATAGGCTTATTGTTGTTTTAATAAGTAAGTTGAGAAAAATATTTTTAAACTCTCCCCGGCTTTAACTTCTAATATGCATATAAACAAAAGTCCTTTGGGGACCTCAATAATTTTTTAAGAATGTAAAGGGGCCGAAACCGGTTTGGCTCAGTGGCTAGAGAGTCGGCCTTCGGACTAAAAGGTCCCAGGTTTGATTCTAGTATAGGGCACGTACCTCGGTTGTGGGCACATCCCCAGTGGGGATGGTGCAGGAGGCAGCTGGTCAATGTCTCTCTCTTATCAATGTTTCTAACTCTCTATCCCTTTCCCTTCCTCTCTGTAAAAAAAATCAATAAAATATATTAAAAAAAAAAAAAAAGAATGTAAAGGGGTCATGGGACTAAGGAACATCACAAATGCTGATCCAGAGAATTACTGGAGGCTGCCCAGAGACAGCTTTATCCAGTTTATTTTTTACAAATGCTCAACATGCAGGGTTGAATTATGAAAAACAAATCAAAACCACATAAAGCACTATAGCTTCCTAATGCAAGTGACAGATGTAATTCAATAGCAAATCGATTTTTACAATGAGGCGATCACTTTTTAAGTTGCCAGAAGAGAAGAACATCTCTCCAATACATGCACACAGACCAGGAAAGCAAAGTCTTTCTGTGTAGTGCCTCACAATTCTTCCACACTAACTCCCTTTGGTAATGGTCAACTTGCCCCTGCTGTCACTTATACAACCCAGTCTTCGGAAACAGCAAATAAGGAACTCAATAACGTTAAAAAATAGCTCCAAGGAAAATGTTTCCTTAAGAGAAAGAACAGTATTACAGCCCTCCCTCGTCTTTTCTGGGACTGAGTAACAGTGAGTGATACAATGCCAGTGCTGCCAAGGAAGAGAAAGGAACACTCATTTTTCTAACCAGACTTCATACACCAAGTTACTAAAGAAAACCTTCTCCAGACAATCCAGTTATCTACCAGCTGAGAACCCAGCAGCAGGGAAAGAAAAGAGTGAATACTTCCAAAAGCTTTCTAGGGACATGGGGGTGGATGGGAAGCTATTTCAAGAGTTATTTGGATAAGAGATTTAAGCTAGACAAAGCAACAAAAAATTCTCCCTTCTTCTTAAAGTGTGTCTATTAACTTTATAGTCTCAAAAGTCAATCTTTCATCTTAAAAATAAGTTATTGTATAGTAGTGGCAATTTATCTTTATGTTATATTAGTAATTTGTGGACAACAGAAGGGTTACTGAACCTAATTTACTTAATAGATCTCTTATTCTCACAGAATAGTGGTTCAAATGTTCATTGGTAGTATGTCAAAACCAATCTTTTTAGTATGTATTTTTAAAAATATTAATAGGACAGTACAGATACAAAGAACAAACGAGAAGCAGTGATAATACTTACAAATTTTATCTTGTGAATTGTTCCTTGTACTGTATCCTGAACCAAGATCTGGAAATGCGCCAACATTTTCAAAACAGAACTTCTTATTAATATAGAGAAAAAGGAGCAGCATCAAGACAATAAACACCCCAACCGCTGACAGAAATCCAACTGCCTCTGGAGATACTAGAGAGAGAAAAGTCACAGCTGTAAGCATCCACTCCTCTTTTAGCTACAAACAAGGAAACCCCCATAGAAATGTTAGAGTACTGTCTTTTTTAAATTACATTTTAAAACTGTCCTAGTTCACCAGAGTTTAGTTTATAAGACAAACCGCACAGTTTAACAAGTTATTCAATTCACTCAAGGAAATTTGTTCAACTCTTCTAAAAGTTTCCCTATATATTATGTTAGAACCATCTTAAAAGGCAAAGTCTTCAAACTTGGCAGTTTTACATTTAGTTCATTTTAGAGTATTACAAAAATTTTAATGCCAGAATTAAAAAAATATTTCCCATGCGAGAGCATATTATTTAATCAAATTTGTGAGAATGTACATTATTATTCATATCTCTAAAAGCTTCAATGGCTCTTTTTTTATTAAACAAACTGGACTTAACCTGACATTCAAAGCTCCAGCCTCTCTCTTCAGTATTTTACTCTAATCAAATGGTCCCACTCATTGTCTCAGAATCAGGTGCACAAATTACTATACACCTTGTTTTTGCTCTCTCTCTTTCCATTGCTCTCTCTTCCCATAATGAGCAAGTCTCCTCTCTACCATACCCTCCCGCTACCATATCCCACTCTCATTCAACCAACCAATATTTTTGCTGCAGCAGCCATACACCAAGCATGACCATATACAGTTTCTGTTTTCCGTGAACAGTCTGATGAAAGCAATTACAACATGGCAAAATAAAGGCTGTGACATGGGGAGGGGTGAGAGGTAGGGAATATAGAAACCCATAGAAACACTTGATCCAGTGCTGAAAAATCAAGTAAGCTTTTCTGAAAGTTACTACCTCTGTGGTTACATTTTAAGAATCAGTAAGAATCAGCTGAGTTAACACTATCCAGGCAAAAGAAACAGCATGTGCAAAGGTGCAGAGGCAGGAGATCATGGTATATTCTAGAAACGCAATAAAACTTTGTTCTGATGAACCCCCAGGTTCCCAAGAAAATCTGATCTCAAAAGGAACACATGAAATCATCCACGGAGATCTTATAGCATAGAAAAACAGACAAAATCTTTCCCAACTTCGCCAATCCTCAGCAACCCCTCTTTCCTTTCAACAGCTGCCGATTTGTCACCATGCCAATCATTTGGGGGTAACGGGAACTCAATATTTGTATCCCCAGAGCCTAAAAAATAAACACTCAAGTATCAACTGAGAATAAATCCTAAGCCTCAAATACCCTCTGCCATCTACAGCCTGCTTTCTTCCTCCAGGAGCAACTAAAATGCCATCTCCTCCAAGATGCTTTTCTTAGTGGGAAGAGCCTTGACAATTAGCACCCAACTTGCTTGTTTAAAATGAAGTCACCAACCAGCCAATGAGGAGTGCTCCAACCTCCTAGATTTCCACTCCTTGTGAAAGCCAGACATGCCAGGTGTAGAACTGATAGGATACTGCACCTGTTCACAGCGGGGCCAACGGTCTTGGGACAGAGGGTGGGGGCAGAGAGGGGGTAGGATTGGAGGTACTGTCCTGGAGGGCACTGAGCGTGAGTGCAGGAGGGGGTAGGAACGAGGAGTGTTATGTGAGCACCAGGCTGATGTTGAGGAACAGCTCTTGTTACTAGAACTAAGAAGACAGTTATGTCCTGCCCCCCTCGCTTTTAGGCTGAAGAATAGTCAGGAAAGAAAATAATATTTTAATACAAAGATCCCAGGTAAATGACAAAATAGGTGGTGTGCACCAAGCCAAAACGTTGCGATAACAATGAAAACAGAAGAATCACCATCAGGATTACTAAAAGCTAGGAAGGTCAGAAGCAAGACAGAATCTGGTATGAAAGGGCAAAATGCTTACGAAGAAGCAAAATGCACAATATCCTTATAGTCACTATTCCACTGTAAATAGTAAATACGTATAGGAGCTCAGCTCTACCCCAGGCCTAAAACTCACTCAGAAATTGGATGACTGAAAAATCTCCATTTCTTTGAAAACGGAATGAGAGAGAAAACATAGCTCATTTCACTTAGGAAAGCTATTGCTAACGAAAACAGCAATAAACACATTCAGCATGCACTGTTTTAAACACTTTACTAGTGCATAGATGAACTCTTGTAATCTTCACAATTATGCTATTGTTATTCCTGCTATAAATTGTGATACAAAGATAGAAACACTGTGCCCAGCCAGTGAAGTAGGAGAGTCGGGATTCAAACCCTGTCTGGCTTCAGAGTATGTTTCCAACTATTTTTCATTCTGCTTGTTCTGTTTTCCTTCTCTCCTTCCCTTCTTGCCTCAATCCTTATTTCTGTGTTCCTCTTTCATCTCTCTCCTTCCCATATTTAAATCTAACTTAGGGGGAAAGATCAACTATAAACAAGTACAACAGGGTAAGGACCAGAGGTATGAATATCAAGCATTACTGGAGCACAAAGAAGAAATACTACTTGGGGAAGTTACGAACACTTCAGAGAGGAAATGACACATGAGCAGGGCATGAAAAATTAATAGAATGCTATTAAACACTAAAAGAGCAGATGAAAGAGCATGGTCAGAGGCACAGAGACAATGGGCGCGCATTCTCTACGCGCTAATGGGGCACCCTCCAGGCTCTCTTGGTTACCTGTCTTCTCAAAGCACCCAGCACCATGCCACGGAGCTGACATTAAATAAACAACTGCAAGAGAGTGAATGTCTGTTCAGGAGAGCTAAAATATACCCGCTGAGCCATGACTGCAGATGAAAGCAAGGTCTGAAACATCCAAGAACCTTCAATGTCATCTCAATCTTTGATACTTGTTGAGCTGTTCTGCTTAAAACAATTAGAAAACTGAAATGCAGTAGAAAGTGAATGGTGG